CTCTCTCTCTCTCGCTCTCTTTCTCGTAAAGCGCAAGAGTTCGGCTTCTTCCACCTCAACCTTCACTCAGAGCAGAGCATTGACAGATTGGAGGAGGTCCTTTGATTTCGACCTCCCGATATCGTACCCCTGCATTTATTGCATCAAGCGAAGACGTGTCATCTTCTTGCGACTCAAGCTGCCTTTGGGGAGGATGCAGGCGCAAGCAGCCTCTCCGAGCAGTTCGGCAGCCTCCAGCCCTTTCAGAAGGACAGTACGCGCGTCAGATTGAAGGGGTTTGGGCCGGGCCTTTCAATCCTGAGCATCTCGCAAGGATCCCTGCCAAACGCCATTCTGGAGCGGAGAGGACAACTGACTAAGCTGGCCCACGCATGTGGTTTTCAGGGGTGCAGAGAACAATGGGAGATAATTGGAGATTCTGTAGTTAGATGCTTGGTGGTATGTCATATGTGTTCGTTAGAGTGTTTCCAGATGTGCGTTCGCTGGTTCGATCATCTTGTTTTACTCTCTCTCTCTCTCTTTTCTACTGCGCAACTAGGTGCAGGCCCTGCCTGTCAAAGGCTGCGCAATTGCACATGTGCAACTGAATGTGATGCTGCATTTTATTTATGTTTGGTGCAGGACCGCAGCCAGTTGCAAAAAATGTGGCTGCATACATCGCCAGTACAAAAACCAAGATCTTGAAGGGGTTTGAATCATGTCCGATTAGACATGTCCACATTGTGTCATAAATCATAAACTGGCGGTTGGTCATGGTCATTGTAATCTTTGGAAGATCCGTAAGGAAACGCTGCCCAGCACGATAGGACCGCGCCTTCACCAGCTGTGTCTGCTTCGCCACGAAGCTCGACCTCGAGCCCATTCCAAGCAAGGCCCATCAATGGTGCCTTCAATAGCCACAAGCATTGGTACTATGCGGCGTATGTCCCCTAAAGTTACAGAGGACATGAGGACAACACCAGTACTTGCACCACATCCCAAACAACTTCTGGGCCACTCACGATTGTGATCGATTCGAGGACCACCTCTGAGAAGACACGGCCCAAGACGAATCCAAATCAAAATGTGGGCGGCACTGTGTCGAGAGCGCGCGAGGCCCAGAACTGGCGACCAAGATGTGTGGCACTGGCACAATTTGAATCCCAAAATGCCGCACGGTGCAGTGGCGAGAGTGCGATGCCGCGAGCCGGAAGAGCATCCAACATCATGGAACTGTGGCGAGAGTGTGACGAGGCCACAAGCAGCATTGCTTCTACCGAAAACCATGAAAACCCGGAAATAAACACAACAGCCACACAATGCGAACGGCCGTGAACGGCAATGTGGCGGCAGCAAGTTTCCCCACTTTAGACCTGAACAAGTTTTGCTCCAGATCTCCAGTAGACTCCATTACCACACTGTTCGGGGAATGACCCTACGATCCGAATTGACGAGGAGTCTGTGCGCAGTGTGGGATTTCACCCCATGCCGATTTCGTTCTGCCATTGAAAAACTCGGGAGGAGCATCAAACACCTTTGCTGAGAAAGAAGTGTAACATTGCTGCCTGCAGAGTGAATAAGACCATCACCAGCATCGTTCTTCGCTTCCAGATTGGCTATAATGGCTTTAAATGATTGAGTCGCGAAATCCATGCGGCAGTAAAACCGAAGGCCGCGAGGCAGCCCCACGAGGCCACGGCTATTGGTGTTTCTGCTTCAGATCCAGAACATTAGAACATCCATGAGGCTGCACATGGTTACAAGTCTGCATGTGTCACGATGCCGGTGTGGACAGGTCAAGCCCTGGCTCATCTCCGCAACGCTTTGGAGGGTGCGAGTCGCAGGAGATTGCACAGTACTCGGTACGACCAAGGCAAACGACTAGTCAGAACAAGTCGAGGATGTTTACGTTCTGGTCGCCACGTCTGCAAGGGTCGGCGAAAGGAGACAGGAGGGAAAGGAACAAGGAAAGAAGAAGCAAGACCTTGAGGCTTCAATTTTTCGCATGAAGACTGGTGGACGGAGCTCAGCGCCTGCACTTGTACTGTACAGTGCTTGGCCCGTGTACTGCCACATTACGGCAATCCCCGGTTGGGCTTGTGGCTTTTCTACAACGCTGAAGGCACAAAGGTGATCGATGGTCGCAGCCGGCATGACTCAACCGTTGTCGGACAGGCCTCAGCATCGAACCTTTCAACTCGACCCTTTATGAAGTCTCCTGTGTTGACCTCCGAGCTTCTGTGTTGCTTAACTTGATAATTGTGGCAGGGGCAGTTGAAAGTCAGCTTTCTGTCAGTGCAGCTGGCGGCTACTCAAACACGATGGGCCATTGAATGCAGCAGGGGCAGCATGGTCTTTAAAGTTTGAAGGAGCCAAAAGAAGACATTCATGGAACGTGTGCAAACCCTTACATAACAAACCCGGAACCAGTAACCGGGTGAATCAGAAGCTGACGAGTCTGCCTCAGTCGCGGCTGTACCTCAAAACATCTCGAAAGCAATTGAGGAGCAGATGAAGGCAAGAATTCCCGGCCAGACAGGAAGCAAGGTCAACACGCATTTCGAGCGGAACGGGACCTTCTTCGGTGGTGACGAGTGATGGAAGCGTCCTATCATGTCCTATCGGATCGAAGAGGCCTTGGCTTCCTCTATCCACACGAAACTTAATTACGGATTGGCTTCTATTTCATGCCAGTCCTCTCGGACGGCGCCCACCGGGGCTGCTGAGCGATGTCTCGTCCACGCCTCGGTTCTAAGATGTATGTAAGCTAACGTAAGCGTGGGATGCGGCTCGAAGCTGTGAGGAGGTGGAGGCATGACTGCTCAGCAGACAATGACCAAAGGTCGGAGGACGGCGTCATGGTTGACTCTCCCCGGCAAGAGATGCTTCTCCTGCAGCAGGAGGCCCCTTGCCATGGCAAACTGGCAAGCTAGTCATGGGTTACCTTTTCCAATGCGACTGTCCAGAGTTCACGTGGCTTCTGCCTTTATATGCATAGCAAATCACAGCAACATGCAGAGCTGCGACGTTTGATTTAGCTGCGGGCTTGCAGCTCCGAGATTAGCAGCCTGCCACGGAGTACGTCAGGTGTCTATTGCTTTGCCCGAAAGCCACCACGTGTTTGAGTTCCACCGAACGTTACCAGTGTTGTTTCCTGGCACACAGTGCCAGTGCCAGCCTATCGATTCCGTCTATGATGGCCGCAAGAAGAGCCCCTCGGCCCTCGGATTTGCTGGCATGTTCCCATTTGCGGACTCGAAGTAGTCAATCTTTACTCAGGAGATTGATGACCGGCTTGGGCTCCCACAACTGCCGCTGAGGGCTTATCCAATGCTGGTACCGAGCAACTCACATTTGACGTTTCTTGGCCAGGACGGGCCAGGAATCAGCCTGTAGGGCCTGTAGTCTTGTCGGCGTATTTTGTGCCCAACATCGCGGTTTGCAGATCCAGTGCGCTCAGAGCTCCATTCAGATTCCAGAAAATTCCAGGAGCAGTCTGACGAAGCTCGTCAGCGGAGCCGTATGCTGGGAGCGTTGAGCCTGGAGGCTCAATCGGGCCGGGTTCCTCGCCGTTCAATCCACTTGGACACTTTTGCAATTGCCACGAGCTGACATGCCAGGCAATGCTGTCTCTCTTTCCGTTGTGCTTGTACCTGGCAGGCACCGCGACGCTCTCAATGGTCAGACATTGAGGCCTCTTGGAACATCAGGGTGAACTTGCATCTGGACTCGTTGTGCGGGAAGTATACCTTTAAGTTCGTTGCGCGACACACAGGTCGCTGTTGACGTGTCATGGTGATCGGTGATGACGGGAGGATGGTGGTGATGATGATACAGAAGTCCTGATGACGATGGCGGTGTGATGGGCATAGAGGTGATGGTGAAGAAGATGAATGATGTTGGTGACGGTCTAGAGTCTAGACGATGACGATGACGATAAACATGGTGATTGTCATCGCGACGCAGATGGCGAATGTGATGTGTGTTGTGCTGCTGATGATGCTGGCTATGAGGAGATGAAGGAGGAGCCTGCTGGTGGTGCTGCTGGTGATGGTGATGATGAAGAAGATGATGATGGTGAAGGTGAAGCTGAAGCTGGCGATGGTGGTCATGGCATGTCATGGTTGGAGCCCGAGAAGATACCGGCCCCGCCGCACAAGTCTTCGAGCACATGGGCGACCTGAGCGACGACGGTGGCTATGCTGCATGCATCGCTGAAAGGGGCAATGCCCTTATGCTGGCAAAGGCAGCTTTGTCCAAGCAACCCACAGCCCCGAGCTTTACAACGACACCGTCGCTGACTACAACCTCGCCTGCTCAGCAGACGATATGCCAGCGACGACGACAACACCGCCGAAGCAAGCGGCTGCGACGATGCCGTTGAAGCAGATGCGGAAGCAGAAGCATGTGCCGAAGCAATCTCATAGGCAGGAGGCACTTATCGACCTGCTGGAGCACTATGGGCTCTGTCCATTTAAATACTTCGCACCCGGAATGACTCCGTTGTTGTTTTATCCGTGTCTTGTGCCATCCATATCCTCCGGTCCCTCACTGCCTGTGCGCACTCTGGTGGCAAACCTCCGTAGTAGAGCACCCGTCACATTTGCCATGAGGGTGCCTGACATGATCGTAAGTTGAAAGCAACATTGTGCACGAGCCTATGTGCTGTCGCCGATCCACAACGCATGCTTGACACAGTTGGCAGGGAGAGGTGATGATGGCGCGCCAGTGTTTGGCTTGTTTTCAACAGATTGTTCGAGGATCAGAGCATGCGAGTTTGCGCAGTCCTTTCGTGGAAGACACATTGACATACTTATACAAGGCACATGTCTGCTTGAGCTCTTCACGCAAGGAATGGAAGGAAGTGCCGCCTAGACCTGAGCGCTGATACACACCGTTTGTCCATGCTCACCTTGCGGTTTTGTGTGCCGGTTCTCTGAAGTTTGCGCAGCGCAAGCAATTTATAGAATCGGTGCGCCCGAGGCTTGAGCGACAGTGTTTGTTGAGAGCTCCCACCCCACGGTTGGCAAACGAAGCTCTCCCTACTCCTTTGCGTGGAATTGCTTGCCAATTAGTTCATTGCACGCTAGCGATGCATTTCGTGCACCCCAATGCCATGGATGATAAACAGTTGTCGCAGCTTGCAGCAGCATGTCTTTTTGATTTTGTGCCTTGCAGGGGATGCATTACGTTCAGCTCCTCGAGTTTGGCCGCCATTTGGAAGACGAACTTGATGATGGTGATGACGACGACAGCCAGGCACCTGCGCTGTACCGAGTCCTCAGGCTCTTATCCCCGATTAGGAGACATGGCAAGAAACCCCGCCACTTGACAGTCTGTTCACCGGGGTTCCACTGGCTGCGCTATTAGAAAGACCAGGAATTAAGATGAATTGTGCTTGTGCAGAGTGATATTATTGGCGTTATGAAATTGAATGTATCTTCGTGCACTCTCGCGAGGATATTCCTGTTTCCAGGCCTTCTTCCGGCTTGCTCCGTGCACATCAAGACACCATTCGCTGCACCACAGGAGCCCAGCTTCGCCAGTGACTCGACAGACGACGACCCTCTTTGGGACGACTTGGAAGGTGCTTCTGTTTTTCGTGGGTTTTTGTGGGTACACATGTCTGGTGGCCAGATGTTGCAAGTGCCCTGAAACCTGCAGGCCGTGCAGCCTCCGAGGCTGCATCTGAGGCTTCGAGCATTTCCTGGGATGATGATTTCAAGGTCATGTCGGAGAAGGTGGAAGACTGCTTGGCAGAAGGCCGGGTTTTCAGAGGTGACACAATCAATAGTGAGCATGGCCGATGAGGAATACATGATGCTGATGCCGCAGGTCGCCCCATCTCAGGTCATCTAGCCTTGTCAGCTGAGAGTGCCCACCTGCCGGAGACAGCAGGCACATCAGCAAACTGGCGGAGTGAGCCAGGGCAGTGATTGCAGAAAAGCCTTCTTACTTTGTATCCACTGGGCATTTGTAGGATAGTTGCTGTACATGTTTTTTCATATGTGAACTTGACTAGCGGCACCTGGCCGTGTTTTGCATGTCCGGCGCAGCATCCTAGATGTGGCACGCACGTGCTGTCCAGATGCTTTCCGGACAGATGTGGGCTTCAATGTACGTCATGTCAGATAATTTTTCGCTTGGGAGAGGGCTTGGGATTCTGCAACAAGTCGGTTGTGCAGTAGGCCAAAGCGGTGGTGGACTGACATTGACTCAGCAGAATGCTTTTCTATATGTTCACCCGATGTTTATCGTCAGTGGAATATTATGGAATGTTTGGGAGATTTCGGGCGGATTTTCGATTGTTCACACCTTCCCTAGATTGACTAGATTAGATTCATAGATATCTGTACCAACGTCGAGAAGCTGTATTGGGATGGCATGGTGTGGCACGAAGGTGCTGCCAGCGCAGGGCGCACCAGAACGTGGTAGTCGTCACGCACTTTCCAGACAAGAAGAGCGGTAGAGTATGGTAGAGTGTATTGATGCTCACATTCACATCAGATGGGGTTGGGTCAGCAGTGCGAGTCGAGTACTGGTCTCAATCTCCTTATGCACTACGACCGCAACTGATGTAGAGGCTGCACGTCTGCGATCAGGATATTATGAAGTGGAGAAGCTCTGTACCTGTCCGGAAGCAAGAGCCGACTGCGATTCTGCGCGCACGCACCTCACGAGTTGATTTTCCATCTCGACTTGTAGAACTGGGACTGGGCTCATGATCTAGTGTGCGCGCGAGCACAGCCTGTCGGTGAGACATGAAGCTTTGGTGCACGAGGAACGTGTCGAGAAGCCAAGCTTATCATGATCGACTGGATGAAGAAGATGTTTGCCCTGTCGCATATTCTGAGGGGATTGGTGCAATCAGGTGATTCCAACCAGGAATGTTTCTGTGAAGACGTCTCATCACGTTTAAAGGTTGGAATTGGAAGGGGGAAGTGGGATGTTTTCCGTGTCGGTCTCTGTCGTTCTGTGTCTCTCCAGTTGTGCAGTTGCTGAGCAGGGTGGGGAGGTGCAGTTGGCTGCAAGGACATCGACGACAGTCTCATCCAGACCCAGATGTCAAGGCTCAGGGTCGCATTGGGTCGCTCAAAGCTCTCTAAGCTTGCAAAGCTCATGATGCTCGCGTGGCCAAGGATGCCTGGCGCAGTCGTTGCATTGGTCTTGCATTCCATTTCACACTATATTCTAGACGACTCCAGACAGAGGCTCGAAGGTCTTTTGTTGCCTGGAAACCTAGAAGTTTCACCTGGGATGTCTGTTCTAGCACTCTACATGTAGTTCGGGTTTTAAACAGAACAAAAAGACCGAACAGCTGCGAAGGAAGATTGGTGGGGGCATGTTCCGAATCCGTGCTGCACATTCCTTGCCTTGCAAAAAAGTGTGCTCACCGCCCAAACCTTTCCAGTGCATCAGACAGAAACCACTCGTGGGTCTGTCAAGACTGGGACGGAAACCGTTCAGATGAGTTTTGCCGGTGCACCATTGAGGCACCTACTGGTGATGCAGTATTCTAGTCGTTTGCATATGATCTACGCGCTGGACGTGCTGCTCTGATGGCCGTGAAATATTTACGAAGCTGTGGAAGCATGACTAAAGATACGGATGCGTACTGATTCCTGGCTGAGGCAGCAAGATTGCTTCCCGAAGCCTGTGCAGTCATGTGTGATCAGCAGCTTCCACACAGCTACGGCTTGTCAGTGCCACAAGACATTTCCAGTGTGCGGACGTCGCTTGTTACGTCCGTTCACACGAACTCACACGCTCATTCAATTCGTGCTCTGCCCTGTACGTAGATTGCAACACAATCGTTGAGTCTTGCCACTAAGCTTACGGATTGCAGTCGTCTCGTCCCATGTTCAGGCCAAATGCAAACTATTGTCCGACATGGGCTCGAGATACGTCTCTCCGCATCACTTTGCCGGGCAGTCCAAGCTTGTGACAATGACGGGCAATGCAGCTTCGCCGTTTCCCTTGCAAGCTGGAGGCGGAGAATCAACTGCGACAAGCACCTTCAAGTAACAGCATCAAACGCACAGAGGTCCAAGAACACAAGAGTTTTCCGACTAGCTATCCAAGTCGTCTTCCCAGCAAAGCCTCTGAGCTGGCCCGGCAGAAGATCTCCACCGCCAAGTCGTACAGATATGGGTCCCATAGGTATTTGGACGCAGACAGATCAAGCTGCAATCGCTGAAAGCGTCGTTCCAGCCTCCACGCGCTTATTATGTGGCATGGCATTCTAGCGAACATCAACCAGAGGCTACCACTTTTAACGTGGTCATGAATTGGTTGACCAAACATTCTCTAGCTCACATATCCCGCCACGCTGGTCCAGGGTTTTTAAGTTCTAACCAACCATGGTTTGACCTACAATATGGTGCATTATGTCTTTTGTGGTCTTCTGCTCCCCTGGTCTCTCGGTCCTCATGGCTTCGCTTCCAACGTGTTTTAGTGGTATCTGCAATAGGAGCGCCGCAAGATGTGGGGGATTGATTCGCTCAAGGGTGCCTTCAAGAGCACGAGCGCACTCCTCTGACAAGGATGAAACCTTTAATTCCAAGAGCAAATTCAATTTCGTTCTGTGCAAGCAACGTTTTGTATTGAAGTTTTACTGGTTTGAGAAGTTGTGCGCGTGAATTTGTTCACCCGATCCGGATCTTCCTGCATTGGTTACTTTGAGTGGCATCATGACACCTCGCCTCCTCTGGTCGAGTGAGAGAGGATTGGCAAGTGTCTTTCAAACGTCATTGCAGTGTGGTCCTGGAGCTCTCGTTGAAAAGTTACATGCACGCTCAGCTCCCCACGATGGTCTACACGCTGCGGGAAGACTACCTCCCTTAATGTGACAGGTAAGGAGCTTGCTTCCCAAGCCACCAGCACCACTATTGGACGCAGTGGGAGTGCTGGACCCGGCTTCGCAGAGGCATTGCAAAGCTCCAGTTTGTCTTTTCCTTCGCCAGCTTGGGATTAAAAGATTGGAAGGGCTCTGGGTCGTGGTTGGTGATTGGAATGTGCCTGTGGAGGAATTTGAAGCTGCTGGCATAGGCCTGCGCTCCGATTGCACGTGCACTGACGCGGGACTCGTACCGTCAACTCCATGTTGCGGAGCAGGTGGCCTGCATCCTCACTTGCGTCTCATCATGATGTAAGCGCAGGAGCTCGTAGGTCCATCCATCCGGGGCTCCCGCTTGTTGTCACCGGTCCCGGCGGGTGCCTTGCCAGGCCAAGTCTTCGCCCAATGGGCCGCTCGCAAATACACGGATTTCCAGTTTTCAACGAAAAAAACCATTGCAGGGCTGACTCGGATGCAAGGCTGGGGCATCGGGGTTCAGGGTCCTCAGGGACGGGCCCAAGCTCATGATCATCCAACACCTCGCCGACTCCCTAGGCCTGTCCTTCCTGCAGAAGGCTGTTTGGCATCTTCGCTGTCCTTTTGGGCGTTTCGGGCGGAGGTGTCGGCGTCCGCTGACCAGCCGCCAGTCGCTGTGCATCTGCGCTTGCTCTTCTTTTCGCATCTGTTGCAACGTCTTGTCTTCCTCGTCCGGTTGTAAGTCCCGGTGGGGCTGCCTGTGGCAGCCAGCTGCATTGCTCTTTTGATGGAACTCTGACGTGAGACCCAAAGCTTCCAGCACCTTGTCGGTTTGGAGATGTCTTCATCTTTACGCAAGCAGTGTCGGCATACTGAGACACGACGAAAACATCTCCACTTCTGTGGGGGAGGCGATGCAGCGCACCCCCAGGCGCTGGATTGTTGCTGGAGTGCCTTTAGCGGCTTTCTCTCAGCAAAAAGAGCTCTCGACGTGCCATCCGCGTCACAGCGTCACTTTGTTGCAGTTGCTGTGTTCGGCCCTTCACTTAGATCTTTGGCTTGATGACGTATCGAAGGACTTGTCGTCTAGAAGTGGTGCTTCGGACCGTAAAGTTCACCCGGAATATCGCGGAACAGTTTTGCCCGGAATCTCCAGATGAGCGCCAAACGAAGAAAGCTTGTGGCGAGTGACCAAGCCACGGCGGCACTCTTGAGAATCGATTTACGACAAACCCTGTTGGTGGATGATCTGGCCCAATACTTGGGCCTTGACAGCCACGCTTCCATGCACTAGCCGGGTAGTCCTGAGCCGCCCTCGCCATTGGCTGGAAGCAGCACCTTGAAGTGGCTACACTGGTCCTGGACCTTCACAGTCACAACCTCAATGATCCGTACACTCAAAACTTTCAGGACCACTTCAAAGTGTTATCCCGCCTCCTGGCAGCGACATTTGCCCACGGAGGACTTTTGGTCTAATAGAGTCGACCCACTGGCCAAAGAGGTGCACCCTTTGCGTGTTGTTTAATCCAGTTTCGCGGCTGATCAGGTGGGAGGATCCCAATGAGCATGTCTTTATATGTCTTTGTCCTGGAACCGTCTGGCTTTTCGGTCAAATGTCTCTCGATTTGCAGGCAGCGTTAGCAGTGACCCAACATGACCCAACGGAAGGTTTGAATTGGACTGCCCCAGGAACTATCACTCCGGCAATGGCTCCGCCTGCCCCAAATGTGGCCCACCGGACATGCCTCGTCACTCTGCGTGTGTGCACCAGATGACATTTTGGCCCTTCGCCCAAAGTTCTATTGGAGTGCCTGTGGATCAGGGCCTCGTTCACTCCGATGCAGGGAAACGCGCCGCTGGAGGGTCATGACTGTCATTGGATGAACTACACAGTCGTGGTGGTCGCCTTGGTATCTTCCAGGCGTACATGGTGCGTGGTTTCTCAGGTTTTGGGGAGCTATGCTGGCAAAATGGTTCGGGAATGGCGAGACCTGTTCGGACGGTCCGTTACCACAATCTGTTTATTCGTTTGTTTCGCCGGGGCTGCTGCAGCCATTCCGTGTATGTATTATCAGATACAGGTCGTAGTTGTAAACAAATCAGCAACAAAAATGGACATGGACACGACATCTCGACAACGTTTTTTGTCTTTGCAACCTAATGATCCCAAGCTTGCTTATGCTTGAATGGTATCACGTTCGAAGGTGGTCAAATCAACGAACCTCAACGATTTCAATTTTACGTAACTGTACCTTGACATCACGGAAACCACGAGCGCAAACGCTTGGCAAATATAGTCTTGGAATGTCTTGGACCAGTGCATGGTTGCCTTACACCGCATGTTCGACCCGTGGAGCTGAGCACAGCGCGTCGATCTGTCTACAAGTCTACAACGTTATGCGGCTTTGCCCCGCATTTCTTAGCACCTTGAAACATGTGTCTGTATCCATGTCTTCCTGGCTTTTGAAATGAGCATTCGGTCCCCAAGAGTCCATTGTTCATGTCGGAACAATGGTCAGGCTGGGGATGAATGATTTAAGTGCAGCGTTGACACCAGCCAGTTGTCATGTCGGTGCTTCTGCTTTCAAGCCGGCTCGCTCGAAGGTGGAAAATTGTGCACAAGTTGCCGCAGCGTGTGCCGCAAACTCTGGTGCTGTCACAAAGTCTCTAGTTGCAGTGTTTGACACCTGGTTTTTGGGTCCCCCCATCGTCCTCATCGTCATTTAGCAAACTTCTTGATTTTCTTCGGTTTTTTGAAAGTCCACGGTTCCTCTGGCTGATTTTGCCGTTGTTAGATCTGTGACTTGTGTGGGAGCTGCTGTTGTTGCAGGTGGTTTTGGAATCAAAAATTTGCCATGCGGTGCTTTCCAGGCTGTAGCCCAATTGAAGCGACAACTCGCCGACGAGCAGGTTGGAGCTTGGAGTGCATATACTGTGGCCGGCCAACTTTCAATCCGAGCAAGGAAGTGAGTACGTAGCATAAGGCGGTTTTCCGGACCTTGCGAGCCAATGCAGCTGAGATAGTACTTCCCGAAGCTTGGTTTCCCGGCCCCAACCTAGAGACATAGGAGGCGAGAGGTTTCCATGCAGTGGCGCAACCAGCAGTTGAAGCCAAGCTAGTTGAATTCCACGTACTTTCAGGCAAAGGCTACGAGGCGAGAAGAGCAGGCGGACGGCTTTGTCTAGTTAGTCGAGTTGCCGTTCCATTTCCAGCGGGGTCCTTTTAAATGCCTGTATGCCGTGTCCGCGTGCCAGTCAAGCGTGATGATATCACCTGTCCAGTGATTCTGCAGCTGGAACGGCAGTCTGTGGCGACTCGTAGGACATCGCATCCACAAGTGTGAGAACATGGTGCTGAAGCGAATCGAAGGGAAACCTAGCCGTTGTGAATCGGTTCACGGCGTTTGCAGGTCTCATCTGCGTTGGCAGCCGCAATTACTTCCTTGAGGTCGAATCGACCGCAGGCCGCAGAGGAATACTGTAAACACCAGGTCTCCCCGATATTCAGCTTCAACATCTGATGCAGTTAAAACTAACGAAATACACCCAACCACATTTCTATTGAGCTGACTTGAGGTGCCCTCAGCACCATCGACGTCACGTGACTGTATTGCTTCAGCTAGCAGCTAGAGGTGTTTGTCGAAACAGTATGAACCAGTCTGATAGTGTCACGTGAGACCCCTGCGAACAACCTGCGCAGGCCATTGCCTCCTGCGAGCGCCTGGAAGAAGAGTCCCCTTGTCGCTTTGAATTGTCATGAATTGTCTTGGACTGCTCCTACTCGGTTTTAGAGGCACAGCACTTACAGCTAGGTACTTGTCCGAATCATGGCATAAGGCCCAGGTGTGACTCCCGATTGACTCTGTCGGATCAGGCTAGGCCGCAGTTGCAACAATCAGTCCACCGCTCCCCTCTGAAGTTCCATGCGGCAGCACAGGTAATGCTGAAGCTAGACGTACAGTACGGAACCGTCCTAACGCAATCTCTTCTGTTCGGGGTCCCGTCATTGATTCTTTGAACTGGCACGTGCCGAGTCTGCACTCAACATCCTTTCCGCATGTATTCAACCTAGATTCTGCCTCTTCGATTTCCAGCAAGCAACACATGCTTCTGGCATACTCATTGCTGGTAACTGACATGGGGAGCAGCAAGATGCAGCAAGTTGCTATGACCTTCGGGAACAGTCGCACGTGTCCAGAAGCAGGAAGCCCGTCATGAATGCGGATATTTCCATTGCCAGGAATGTTTCGCTGAAGCACCGCATTCCAGAGCTGGACTGGATGGATCCGCAATCTATCTGGAATACTGTACTGTGCGCCGTTGAACTTTGAACTAGTTTCCGGCGAGATTTCAGAGACACCAAGAAACAAGCAGTTTCTAAGTGGGTGGACGCCTGCACTGTTCACGGTACAAGTTCTCGCGCGTGCTGTGTCGAGCTGCAATCTGCAAACATGTAGTGCACGAACCCCACAACCCACTGTATGTTGTTGTGATCAGAGTATTACAATCCGTGGTTGTGATGGAAGAATTGAAGAATCGAAGCTCCTTAAGCACTGCAGGATGTACAACTGGAGCGGGAGCGTGGGAAGAGCGAAACGATGGAGGAAGCTATGAAAGAGCTCGAAATGCAGGCCTCGAGATTGCGGTTGGTCCCAAGGAGTCGCCCATTGAAGCATTGAAGCCCCGGTCGGAATTGAAGCACTTTGTGCCCCTGCTCAGTTCAGCCCCCATCATGAGACCCAAGTAGCAGCAGCAGTCGTCGTCCTCATGGTCGTCGCAGTGCTGGTGGTCGTCGTCGTCGTCCTTTTCGCTCTCGACGCAGTCTTCGTCGTCCTTGTAGCAGCTGCTGTTGCCGTCGTCCTCTCAGTGGCAGTCGTCGTCGTCGTCGTCGTCGTAGCGTTTCGTCGTCAACGATGGCTATGACGACCACGAGGACGAGCACCAGCAGCAGCAGCAGCAGCAGTAGCAGAAGTTGAAGTACCAGTAGTATCAATACCAGTACCAGCACTAGCACTAGCGCTACATTGACATAGTACTAGTAGCAGTAGCAGTAGCAGTCGCAGTCGCAGTCGCAGTCGCAGTCGCAGTCGCAGTCGCAGTCGCAGTCGCAGTCGCAGTCGCAGTCGCAGCCGCAGCCGCAGTCGCAGCCGCA